TCGATTTACAATGTTAGTTTCAGGTGTACAGCAGAGTGATTTAGTTATACATTGACATACATATATATTTTTTCAGTTTCTTTTTCACTATGGCTCATTACAAGGAATTGAATATAGTTCCTCCAAAATATTTTTTAATATTTTATTGTGTTATTTGTTAATTTTTCTATTTTGGGGGGAAGAGGTAATTAGGTTTATTTATTTTTAGAGGAGATACTGGGGATCGAACCCATGACCTTGTGTGTGCAAAGTATGGGCTCTACCACTTGAGCTATACCCTCCCCCCTCCCAAAAAGATATTTAATAGTCTTTCAGAATGGCTCTTCTGGAAATTTTTGATTCATGTTTATAATCTGATAAACACCTCCACATATTAATTTTTATGAAACAAGTGGAGAGAATATCTTAGGCAATTCATCTAAAGAATATTTGACAAGTATTTCGAACAGTCACATCATGCAGTGGGAACTGGGTGCATGAGGAACGGGAATACAATGAGTGTATTATTAGCATGAGGAAAATCGTGGTCTCTCCTAAGCAAGAGGTCAGGAGTTTCAAGAGTAAACATTCAGTTTTATATGGAAGAGTCTGACTGCATTCATGAGGTCTGATCACAGACACTTTTAAGACTCACTACGAACTTCCTCCTCTGCCCATGTGCACAGGGCAAGCTGATAAGAAAGCGTGAGCACTCCTTCCCTTGGCTCCTTCCTTTAGTTGTGGGTTTGCACCACAAGCATGTGCCACCACCATTCTCCGCTCTGTCCAGCCATTTTTGGACCAACTTGGGAAGTCTACCCTGCTCGCCCCAGGAAGCCTCATAATGTTACATTCTCCTAACATGTCAGTATGTGCAGTCATTAGACCTGACATCCAAACTAAACTTTGAGTGGGTTCCATCCTTTTCTAACGGAAAAAGCAAACGGGCAAACTAATGAAAAATGTCTTGGAGAGTGAATAGGTGAAATTTCTAGTTCCTCTATCAAACAATCCCACTGTGTTTGTTCATTCCTAGAGGAAATACATGAACATTGATTTTTTTTAATGTTTCCCCTCCTTAAACATTTTTTTTTATTTGAAAGAGGAGGTAATTAGGTTCATTTATTTATTTCTAGAGGAGATACTGGGGATTGAACCCAGGACCTTGTGCATGCTAGGCGTGCACTCTACCAGTTGAGCTATACCCTCCCTTCTGAACATTGATCTTTTCTAATTATTTCTCTGAGCGCTGCAAGCAAAAAGGTAAGTTTGTGTCATATTAATTCTTATTTCTGAAATTTTATTTCCTCATATTTTTCAGATATTACTATATTCCTATACCAGTAATTTACACTGTATTTCATGTAAATATGCAAACCATGTGTCTAATATCAGCCCTAAAAAGGCACATAGAAATATAATAGTGTGGTGTATACTCAGGCGTGGAGAGGCAGGTGTTTGGGAGCTTGAGTCTGAAGTTTTGCTGCCAAGGTATTTTCGTTACAGCCACAGAAATAATGAGGGATACACTGTGGAGTTCACAGCTCAAATGCAAATTATGAATATAGATTCCAGGATAGTAAGTTGTTTTAAATCTAACGTGGAAAGAAACTGTTATAGTTGCCAGTCAACCTGGAGAGCCTAACCATGTGTAATTAGTGATCATTATCAAGCGCAGAGTAAGGTGGAATATGCTTGGGTCAATAGAAAGCTAGTGACTCCTTCAGGATTTTACAGAAAAGACTACCTTTCATTAACTTACAGATGAGAAGTGTGGTACATTCTAAATAAAATGCTATCAAAATGCAGCTTCAGTGGCCACGTTTGAATTCTTCCCAAGTACCCTGCTTTTCTCTGCATTAGACTGTCCTCTATAACACTAGGTCTTGAGTGTCCAAAAATAAGACAAATTTTCATGAATCACTGATATGCAACAGCTGTTCCCTTTTAAAAGGGAGGGAAACCATCTTTCCCCTCCAGTTTTTCTACCACACAGCTAACCCTTCGTGTACTCATACGAAAACCTCCTTCTCTCAGTGTCGGTTCTGCTCTGTTTCATGATCATCTGATAGAGAAATTTTTTTCCTATAAGCATCAGGAATGGTCCTCAGATTGTTAAGACTGAGGAAAGAGGGTGGGAAGGGATACATTTGGGAGTTTGAGATTTGCAAATATTAACCACTATACATAAAAATAAGTTTCTTCTGCATAGCACAGGAAGCTATATTAAATATCTTATAATAACCTTTAATGGAAAAGTATATGAAAATGAATATATATATGCATATGTCTGACTGGGACATTGTGCTGTACACCAGAAATTGACATATTGTAACCTACTGTACTTCAGACAAACAAACAAAAAAAATCAGTGGCCTTCAGTCATAACAAATCTAGAGGAGGTGCCTTGACCACAGAAAGCAGGATATTTTGGATAATAGTTTTATGTCTGTACTGTTACTCCTCATGCTCTCGAATTTAGACCATATTGCATCTTAAAACGGGTGTCCTGGTTTTTCCCAGTCACATGGATCTGAATAAACCCCACCTCATGAAGTAGGTCCTTTCCTCTTACCCACCCCTTCCCTGGGAGCGTCAAGGCGATAAATGAAAAGCAGGTAATGCAAGAATAACATCAACAAATTTCAGCATTCAGGTTGGAGGTCACTAATAAGAATGTGTCCGTTTCAAGAAACCTCAACTAATTCAATAAAAACATTGTACAATCTGCAGATAATGAGATCTTTCCACAGATGTCCTTGCTCATTGACAGGTATCGATCTCATGAGTTTTAAAGAATTTCAACACTTAATTCTGTTTGGAATTTAACATCAGAGTTTGGTTAATCTTCAAAAGTATGAGTTTCTTAGTGTAAGTCCACTGAGAGCATTGCTTGAACATTTGTCACCTTCATTACATTTGTCATGTTTCTGTCTAGCGTGAGTTGGTTGTGGTGTATCCTGAGGTTAATGCTTAAAGTCCTTGACACATTTGTACATTTCCATCTTATGTGAATTCTTTCATGACCACAAAGGTGCAGATTTTTGATACAGTTGATCATACTCATTAAATTTGTTAAGTTTCTCTCTATAAAGAATTCTGTTGTTCCACAAGGCTTCAGACTTCGATATGCTTTGCCATATACTTTTTGTGGTTTCTCTCAAAAATATATATATTCTGATATCAAGTGAGGTGTGAGTTCTAGTTACAGGCTTTGCCACATAGATTAGTTTTATACGGTATCTCTCCACAATGGAATCGCTTGTTATTTTTAATTGAAATGTAAGTGATACATAATATTACGTTTCCAGTGTAGCATTGCTGGTGTAATATTTACATACATTATGAAATGATCAGCACAATAAGTCTAGTAGCCATCTGTCCCCAAACAAAATTTTTTATGCTGCATGTTACATGCCATGACCTATTTATTGTCCAACTGGACATGTGACCCTCTTGTTCCTCTACACCTATCTCACCCCACTACCCCTTTCTGAAAATCACAAGTTTTACTGTGAGTCTGTTTTCACCATATTTTTCATTTTTTAAAAAGATTCTGTATAGAAATGAAACCATGTGGTATTTGTCTTTTTCTCACTTCTTTCACTTAGCCTAATACCTTCTAGATCCATCCATGTTGTTGCCAATGGCAAGATTTCTTTATCTTATGGCTGAGTAATAGTCCATTCTATATGTATATCCCACACTTTCATTATCCATTTGTTCATCAGTGGTGCTCAACCCAGGCTTCACGTTAGATTGCTGAGACATTCTGCAAATACTTGTTTTGTATCCTCTGACCAGGAGTCCCTTTCTTTCTTTGTTTTTTCTTTTTTTTTAACATATTTTATTGAGTTATAGTCATTTTACAATGTTGTGTCCGTTTCCAGTGTAGAGCACAATTTTTCAGTTATACATGAACATACATATATTCATTGTCACATTTTTTTTTTTGCTGTGAGCTACCACAAGATCTTGTATATATTTCCCTGTGCTATATGGTATAATCTTGTATATCTATTCTGCATATGCCTGTCAGTATCTACAGACTTTGAACTCCCAGTCTGTACCTTCACGCCCCCCCCCGCCCCCTTGGCAACCACAAGTTTGTATTCTATGTCTATGACTCTGTTTCTGTTTTGTATTTATGTTCTGTTTTTTGGTTTTTTTTTTAGATTCCACATATGAGTGATCTCATGGCATTTTTCTTTCTCTTTCTGGCTTACTTTACTTACAATGACATTCTCCAGGAGCATCCATTTTGCTGCAAATGACATGTTGTCGCTTTTTATGGCAGAGTAGTATTCCATTGTATAAATATACCACATTTTGTTTATCCAGTCTTCTGTCGGTGGACGTTTAGGCTGTTTCCATGTCTTGGCTATTGTAAATACTGTGCTATGAACATTGGGGTGCAAGTGTCTTTTTAAAGTAGAGTTCCTTATGCCCAGTAGCAGGATTACTGGGTCACATGGTAAGTCTTTTCCTAGTCTTTTGAGGAATCTCCATACTGTTTTCTACAGTGGCTGCACCGAACTGCATTCCCACCAGCAATGTAGGAGGGCTCAGACAGTCCCTTTCATATAGTCTGTGTGGGGTCCAACCTCAGTGATATTTAAGGGGCCCCAGGTGATTCCAGTCTGGGTCCCTCACTGAGCATCCTGACTCAGTCCTCCCATCCTGAGGTCTGGAATCTGGGCTGGGGGGGGGGGGCTCTGCTCTGCGTGGGGATGGATCAGGGCCTGGTCTGTGACCTGAAGGGGACTGTCAGGTCTAGCTGAGGCACCCACTGCTGCCATGTAGGGGAGGGGCTCACCAGGAGGGGAGGGTGATGTGAGGACAGTGTGGGGAAACTCCCTTGTTGGTCTGTGTGGAGTTTCCTATCCTGAGTCCCTCCTGTGACAGTGGGCAGCAGAGGACTGTCTGTTCCACATGGTGAGGTCTCCCCTGTGTGTGTGGTTGTGGCACAGGGAGGGGTGTGTTGATTCTCAGCATTGACTACCATGTTTTCATCCTTCAAGATTGACTTCTGAAGACTAATGTTGCTTGAGGAAGAAGTTCTGAAAAGAAGGAAGAGGAAAGGAAAGAAGTCAGGAATGGCTGTTTCTCAGGTAAAGTCATAATCTCACTGGATTCCCCGTCTGTCCTTCCTGACATGCCCTTCTTTGGACTCGCTAATCCTGTCTGACTGCAGCGTCCTGCCTGACACCTGTACATTCACAGTCACGCAGGACCCTCCCTCAGCGCCTGTCCTCCCCACTTAGACTTCATCCCTATGATAATTGTATTTCAGATTGATGATTAGAGTCCTTTCAGTGATTCCTCTGAAGATGAAACAGATTTGCAAAAGCATCAGAGTAATGCCATAATTGCCCATAAATGACAAAAGTCTTGATAATGCTTATTATTAAAGACCCAATGAGAGATAACTAGAATGGGATTAAGTAACAAATCTACTTATTTCTGTAACGTATCTTTTAAAACTATGACTGGTAATATTATATCAAGACATCTTAGGATCTGAGGAGTTTCATACAATTTTGGAATCCTCTATTAATGTATAAGAAATATAAGGTTAAAAGGTTTAGTTGTTTTTGTTTTTTCTTTTAGTTTGGCAGAGCTCCAATTAACAGGAGCATATTAAATAACCCTGATTAGTTCCACATGTACCAGGTGAGAGAGAAATCCTTCAGGATATTCCAGGGGTCATCTAGAAGAGCCTAGAGTTATTTGAAAGTCAAAAAGTCTTCAGTCAGATTCAGATTTTTGGGAAGGTTGTCACAAATACCACAAGGTTGTGTACATTGACTCATATAGGAAATGATACTTACTCAACCATTTGTTCAAAGTAACAATACGAGATTTCAAAGACAAATACAAAAGGATATAGAGTTGTGAGGGATACTTAGCTCTGCTGTGTTGAAAGGTTTTACTTAGGAATCATAGACCTGTTGAAGAAAACAAGAAGTGTAGGAAATAAGTTTAGTAAAACCCAATTTTTTTCCTAACCAGTTTATGTAAAGGTAAGGCAAAACCTTTCACAGTCTCTTATTAGGATCAGACCAGTAGTCAAAAACATTTTCCTTTAAAAGAACAATCATTTTTCATTTATCAGAAAACCCAAATTTGAATTTTATACCAAGGCTGTTTTAACGTTAAACTCAATTATCTTTATTTCCTGTGTAAAGGAAGCCAAACATAGGTGAACCTACTTTTAGTAATGTGTTAGTATTTTATCTTATTTGGAAATTATCTAGATATTTAATAACTACCCATCATTCAGTTTAACTTGGGAGAAGTGTAAGGTTTTACATTGCCGAAGAGATTTGGGAAAGCAATTCAAAAGCTTTACCTTAAACGCTTTACCTCATACACATATAATGAATTCAGTTGTTTTCAACATTAATGTTTAGATTACTCACAAAAAATTTTATCATGCAGAGTTATTTTGCTTGCTGGCAATTTTATGACAGAGACAACATAAGCTTTTTTGACTGAAAAATCTAGGTAGCGTAAAAATTATATGCCTCCATTGTTTTCATTTCATTTTATTTTACTATTTTTTGATAGAGATACTGGAGATTGAACCCAGGACCTCGTGCATGCTAAGCATGCGCTCTGCCACTGAGCTGTACCCTCTCTCCGCCATTATTTTCAGTTTTCGTAACTCCAAAGATACGTGTGTTTTCATCGAACCAAGAACCTTAAGCTAGCTTTCAGTTATTAAACTTTAATCCCACATTGCATGAACTTGAATAGCATTTTGGTTAGGTTTCCTTAGTTTCCTTAATTTCTATAAGTGCTTGTTTGTTTTTAAGCCAAATGAGTAGAGTTCTTTTACAAATTGTAGCAATACCATCCCAACTGAGGAAAAAAAAAACACATCTACAAGATACATATACACATATATAGAGATACACATGAAAGTGCAGACAGATGCAAACAGAAAATATGTATTTCCCTTTAATTTTTAGCCAAGTCTCAGATATGAATTCAAAAGACGTTAGATCCAATTTGTGTTTGCATGGTGTGTGGACTCTTTTAAATCTTTTGTGAAATTGATTTATCTTTTGGAAGCTTCTGCATACCAGTGAAACAATGCATTACGTTGTCTGCAGAGAGGATATGAACCCTCTCTTGTCAGGGTGCTTTTATGTGTACGGGAAGGTGCAAACGTCTCGGCTCATTGAAATCGTTCCTTGGATCTGCACGCTAGCTATCTAGGGCCAGTATTCTTTTGTTTCATATCCTGAGTTCCCCGAGGGTGCACCACTGGGGGTGGCTGCAGTTGGTGAGGGCTTGGCTGAAGTCAGTCTGTTCTTCTCCATCCTGAATTCCCTCAGGTTCCCTGTCCTGGGCAGTGGTAGTGGCTGATGGCTTAATGGTCAAAGCATCTTTTGTTTGCTGATATGTCAGGCAACATTTTTCATTCACAGGTTCATAAAATCTTCCTACCAACATGGCTAGTGAGACACATTGTAAAATATAAAGTCATCTACCTAATAAAAGTAAACAAAACTTATCCAAGTCACTACATCTTTTAAAAAATGTGATAAATCTTCTTTTATTCATATCTGTGTTACACCAGGACATTCTGCTCCTTTTACCTGAAAATATTTTAAATATGCTAATTTCTTTATCTAAACATCGTCATATTTCCAGGGATTCCCATGTTGCTATGAATGAAATGTTTCACATGTAGGGATGTGATAAAACATACATTGTAGTAGATATTCTCTGACATACATTTCCATAAATATGTTACCGGTTGAAATGAACTTGTGTATTTCACTGTGTATTTTCACTTTCTTTAGGGTTCGTATTAAAGAGAATGAACTTGGCTACTAAATGCCCTTGTACATATTGCAGCTTAATTATTCTTTAGATGGAAACAAATCCCAATGTCTTCTGAAGACTAAATATTTTACCGGCTCTGTTATCCACACTTGGGAGACAGGATTCCCAGAGATGGGCCATTATGTATAGCTTAAGCTTATAGGCAACATCCCTTTAGTGATTTTTTTTTTATGTATCTACTGAGCTAGCAGCCACATAAAAGAGCTGGAGACAGCCCTGCTATTTTCCTGGAAAAATGAGGAGAGGGAAAGTTTTAGCATGTCACTTATAAGAGCTCTCAACTGATAATTGTAGAGAAATTTATTTATTCTTAGTAGTCTAAAATCACTTTTGGTTTATTTTACCAATGGAATCCCATTACACTTATCTTTCTGGGATTCTCGCTCTCTCTCCCTCTCTCTCTCGCTTCTCTGCCAATCTTCTCAATGTTTAGTGTCTACCCTTTTATGGATTTTTAGGATTACTTCACTGCTTGGTTTGATAGCAGCTGATTTTAACCCTGGGAGCTTTGATTCCTAGAGTAGTATCTTCTCACTAGGCCAGCGTTTCCTTGCCTATTTCAGTCTGTGGACTTGTTCTTCTGGGGGAGGTTTTTCCTCTGGCTCATATTAAATAATTCACCAATCAGGGAAGAAGACCTCTTCTTGATGTTCTTAATCCCTTCTCTCCCATTTTGCTTGCTATTTCTGTTTTCATCTACATTTTATATCCAGACATCTACCTTTCTCACTAAAACGTATTAAAAGGCTTTGAGGAAAATTGTATGACAAGCCAAAGAAATCTTTACATTATTCATTATGACACTTAGCACATTACGTTTTACATGCTTGCATTTTTGTCTTTCTTCCCCTATTAGACTGTGAATTTCGGGGCGAGAGCTGTGGCTTTATCTTTTTTTTTTTAAACATTTTTTATTGATTTATAATCATTTTACAATGTGTCAAATTCCAATGTTCAGCACAATTTTTCAGTCATACATAGACATATACACACTCATTGTCACATTTTTTTCTCTGTGAGCTACCATAAGATTTTGTGTATATTTCCCTGTGCTACACAGTATAATCTTGTTTATCTATTCTACAATTTTGAAATCCCAGTCTATCCCTTCTCACCCTCCGCCCCCCTGGCAACCACAAGTCTGTATTCCATGTCTATGAGTCTATTTCTGTCCTGTATTTATGCTTTGTTTTTTGTTTGTTTGTTTTTGTTTCTTAGATTCCACATATGAGCGATCTCATGTGGTATTTTTCTTTCTCTTTCTGGCTTACTTCACTTAGAATGACATTCTCCAGGAGCATCCATGTTGCTGCAAATGGCATTATGTTGTCAGTTTTTATGGCTGAGTAGTATTCCATTGTATAAATACACCACATCTTCTTTATCCAGTCACCTGTTGATGGACATTTAGGCTGTTTCCATGTTTTGGCTACTGTAAATAGTGCTGCTATGAACACTGGGGTGCAGGTGTCATCCTGAAGTAGGGTTCCTTCTGGATATAAGCCCAGGAGCGGGATTCCTGGGTCA